AAGAGACTTACCAATGTTTTCTCTAAAATGTTCCATGCATTCAAAACCTTTCTCACTATTTTCACTACCTCTGTTTTTGTTGAGGTTCTCATTACTTTGTCTGTAGGTTCTTTTTATTAATTATTTTCTCTTCAGTATTTTCTTTTCTCAGTTTTTAAGAAACATTCCTGCAATATATTTTTTCTCAAGCATTATTTTAATCATGTCTTCTCTACTATATTTATGACACATATAAGCTCCTCATTTATTAAATCTGATCTCTCCACTTATTACTCATGGCTCTGCATGACATTCACTTACTTAGTTTTCTATATAGTTTCTCTTCATCATGATCTCTCCATATAGTCAGGCTTCTTGATATTTTTCACAAATACGTCTTCATCTTTTTGTTTATGTTTCTTGAAATTATCATTTTAAAATCCATGTAGGTCACCTGGCACAATAGCCAACTTAAGACCCACTTTCTTGTGCTGCCTTCCAATCTCTGAAATATTCTTAATTTATTATGCATGACTTGCTTATATGTTTTGTTATTCTATCAATAGTTGGTCATAAACTCATAACGTTTAGTATAGGGACATTTTGCCATTAATGTATGTAGGCATATCTTTTAAAAACTAGAAAAGTCAAAGAGGGTGAGAGAAGATGGAAATAATTTATACATAATCAAGATGGATTAAAATATTGAGGAATCATTAACCCAAGTGACTTTTGACACATTTTGGCAGCAACTCACTAATTTTGCAATAATCTTTTCCAGTGATTTTCTATTCAGTCCTTTTAACTTCCTTCACACACTTATATTAAAAGAATGCAAATACTCTCCTACAATAAATTAACAAACAACTTGCTATGATGTCTATATCTTTATTCAACAAATACTAGGGTGTATTATACATAAACATAGCTGTGATGATCTCTAATACATATTAAAATGAGGATGATATGGTCCATATAAGGTTAGTAAATAACTACATAATTATTAGTACTATATATATAGTGTGTGTATATATATGTATATACATATATAGTGTGTGTTCATGTGTGTATCCATAACCAAATAACTATAAATCAAATAGCTCTACACCAAGAAAACAGTTCCATGTATGGCTCTGGAGTTTAGAAGAGAACACAAAAGCTAGGTTAAAAGTTGGAGAATCGACCGGGTGTGGTGGCTCATGCCTGTAATCCCAGCACTTTGGGAGGCCGAGAAGGACAAATCACCTGAGGTCAGGAGTTCAAGACCCACCTGATCAATATGATGAAACCCCATCTCTACTAAAAATACAAAAATTAGCCGAGTGTGGTTGCATGTGCCTATAATCCCAGCTACTCAGGAGGCTAAGGCGGGCAGATCATCTGAAGTCAGGAGTTTGAGACCAGCCTGCCAATATGATAAAACCCCATCTCTACTAAAAATACAAAAATTAGCCAGGTGTGGTGGGTGCCTGTAATCCCAGCTACTCGGGAAACTGAGACAGGAGAATCACTTGAACCCGGGAGGTGGAGGTTGCAGTGAGCTGAGAGCGTGCCACTGCACTCCAGCCTGAGCAACAAGAGCGAAACTCCGTCTCAAAAAAAAAAAAAAAGTTCAAGAATTATCTATAGAGAGGTAATAAATGAAATCAAGAGGGAGAAATGAGGTTGCTGTGGAAGACCGTATATATACTGAGAGATATTAGGATAAAATACTGGGAAAGGTTTCTACTTAGTAAATAGAATAGGAGAAAGGAAAATCAAAGAAGGAATAGTCATAAGAACACAATGAAACAATACGTGTCTAGTTTAATGAAAGTCTTAGGAAGAAATGTGAAAATAATCTAGAAATTATTGGCCAACAATGTCAAATAACCTAGAAAGCTAGGAAGATGAAGACCAAAAGAGGGCACTAAATTAGTGACAAAGAGATCACTGGGGCTACCTGAGAGTATTTGGGGGAGAACGTAAAAGGATTTGAGTAAAGTGAGTGAGAGGTGAGGAAGTAGAGGCAGAGAGTATAGTGAAAGGAGAAAAAGCAGGGTGGATTTGAGATTTTGTAGAATCATTGGCTATGGGGAAATTGAACATGCACAAGAGAGGGAGTGTTTGGTAGAGCAAAACCTTAGAGAAGATAGAAGGGGTTGGAACCAAGAAGTTAGGTGTGTATAGGGTGGGTTCTCTATAGAACCGTGGAGAAGGCAGAGATAATAGGCAAAGCCAAATTTTGAAGTGAACAGGAAGAAAGTTGAAGAAGCTCGTGTCTGGATTTTCAGACATCAGGGAAGGTTCAGCATAGGTTCTGAATTGTAGACAAGTGATGAGACAGCTGATGATGGTATTTTAATAGATAAGAATTCAAATGAAGACGGATAGGACTGATGGAATAAAAATGTGGAAGAAAAGGAAGGAGAACATGATAAAATCAAAGAGTTGTGTATCATATAATAATAATGAGGACATAGCCAGAAGGAAGTTTCAAGTTGTAGATCTGAGAGTGAAACTTTTTTGAGGAATGTGCCATGAGAGATCCATTATAAGATGGTATTGCTTCAGAATTCCTCCCAAAACATGCCTGGGGGATGAATTAACAGGACCTTGGTTATATCATGACCTAGTCGATGGCATGATCCCAGCTGGGACTGCCTGTGTTGCTACAGCAAATCTCTACTTGTGACCCAACATGAAAGAGAATTTGGAGGCCAGGGAAAGTGGCTTTAAATTAGGAGGCTTCTTTTTCAACATTTGCAGAAACAACTGTCACTTATATGTACATCAAGCTTAACTTTCATATAAATTGTACATCTAGTCAAAAGTATCCAAGGCAAAAACATTCAATCTTCAGGCTTTTCATGGACCTAGAACTCTTTATGTGGGCATATAACTGTACTATAACCTTATACTTTTATTTATTTTTAGGGCTTATAGAAACAGGAGCTATTATTGGTCCTTTGATTGGACTTTTGTTGGCATCATTCTGTGCAAATGTTTATGTTGACACTGGATCTGTGAACACAGGTAATTCAATAAAATCTATTTGTACAGTATCTAGAGTATACAAAGCATCTCAGGTATATTATCACATGTAATCATGGCCTTACTTGACCTTCAATTTGTTAAATGATCTCCACTTTAAAAGTGAGAAACTCTAGTGGAGGAATTTAAATAACTTTTCAAATATTCCAAACCAGAAAACAGTAGAGCAAAATAAAATGCTAATCTGACACAGAATCACATGCTCTTTCTACTGCACTTCAACTGTATTTCTTGGTTTTACAAAATTTAGGCATGTAGGTTTGAATTTATTTCAATTAAGCAATCATTTATTGATGATGAGATAGAACTTGTAGCTGTTTAATTAATACCTGCTTTTAAATCCCTTACATGATAGACAGATAACCAGCCTAATTTATTACTAGACAATATTATAACACCACATATTATTAGAAAAATTTTATCAGTGTCTGAATTGTAAGCCAATTTTATACTTGGTTAGGACCTGATAATTCTAATTTTAAGAATTTTCTATACAGAAAATACTGACTTAAGTATTAATACATACAGAAAATGTATTAATCTATACAGAAAATACTGACTTAAGCTAATAAAAGTGTGTATATTTTTTTACAGATGATCTGACCATAACTCCCACTGACACTCGTTGGGTTGGTGCATGGTGGTTTGGCTTTCTGATTTGTGCAGGAGTTAATGTGCTCACTGCCATTCCTTTTTTCTTTTTGCCCAAAACACTTCCAAAGGAAGGACTGGAGAATAATGCTGACATCATTAAAAATGAAAATGAAGACAAACAAAGAGAAGAGGACAAGAAAGAAAAATATGGAATCACTAAAGGCAAATATACATATTTTAAATACTATGAAATTGACCTTTTATTTCATGTAGATATGTCTGTATTTTAGTCTAACACTATGATATGCTATCCTGTGTTGAGACAATTTGTCATCAACTGTCACCAGTCAGTAATACCTAACTAGTCCTTTTCTTCCTATGGTGCTACTTGAAAAGAAATAATATAATTTGGAAGCTGAATTATTTCAGATTAGCATTCATGTAAACTTTTATGTCAGTCTTGGCACTCTCTCTCTCTCAGATATCTATATCTATATCTATATCTATATCTATCTATATCTGTGTTCTCTGTAAAATGGGTTTTTTGAGCAAATGAGACTATATGTATATACTCTCATATATATAGATATATATATAGTCTCATTTGCTCAAAAAACCCATTTTTCAGAGAACATAGGTTGAATTGAAACAAAATGAACAAGCAAATTTAAACTAAGAACAAAAGTAGGAAAGTGTATACTCTAATCTTAATAGGTAGTATAGTTTTGTAACCAATGTGTTAGTTTAATTATGAGCTTCCTGGAAGTTAAAGCAGAAAGGAAAAAAAAATAAAAAACATGATCAGTGACCCACCTCTCTATACTTGGTAGAGGGAAGAATAATTATAAATAATTTATAAAAAGAAATATAAATAATTTATAAAAAGAAATTATAAAAAAAGAAAAGAATTATTTATAAAAATTTATAAAAAGAAGCAGTTCTCCAAGGAAGAAATTGTAGAAAAAAATAAAAAATGATCATATGATGTATGATACAGGTAATATTGAGCCACATAGCGGTTTTCCAGCAAATGAAAGGGTAAATTCCATGTAACATTTTTTTTTTGGTACAGAACCTCAATAAAAGCTCAAAGCATAATTTACAGAAGGGTTTTCTGTGGGAAACTAAACTAAAAAAGCCTCAGTATTTAGTACTCAAGAGCACTGATGCTCAAACTTGGCTGCACATTGGAATCACCTAGGAAATTTTAAAACTGATTAATGCCTGGAAGTTCTGTAGTATTCCCAAAAGGTCTGATTTAGTTAGTGTGGATGTGTGGCCTGGGTATTGGAACTTAAAAATGTTTATTTGATGGATGGGGAGGGGCTCAGTTTTCTGTCAAATGGGGATAAATTATTGTGGTGGGAAGGTAAAAGACATTCTAGCACACATTATTATTAATACTGATACTAGTGTTAGTACTTTTATTGTTGCCGTTGCTGTTTCTATCATCACCCATAAGTTACAATGTCAATTTGCAAGGAAATTTTTTTAACAATTATAAATTCTCTTAAATCACAATTGAGCATAATTTAATACATCTTGGGTCATTAGGAGCCAACTCAGAATCTTGCAAATTCTCAGAATCATTCTGATGATATTAAAAACTCTTCTTAAAGGATTGTTATGGACTGATAGACCTCTTGTGGTCTGCAAGATCAGTTCCATTTTCAAAATCAGGAAAGAGCTTAGCTTGTTGCAAGACATAGAAAACAAACTTGTGCTTCTGAAACTCATCTATTAGGACAGGGATGTCAACAAACATGGGTGACTTAAAAACCTTCAGAGTCGGACGGTAACTCTCTCTCCTGTCAGGTACCCTATTCATAAATATAAATTTTATAATTATAACTCATTTGTTTGCATTAATCTGTGTGTCTTCCTCTTCTAAATTATTTATTTATTGAAATTTTGTTCCAGAATGAATTGTGAGCAGTTTATTAAGCAAACCAGGATTGTGCAAAATAAGAAAGTCAAGACAGAGAACATGTGGACAGGAAAAGTGAAAGGAAATTAAAAGTGAGAACTTGATCCTGAATGGCAGCAGTGTGACCAAGAACATTTACTAGAGGCAGGCCACACATTACTAGAGGCAGGTCACACATTACTAGAGGCAGGCCACACATTACTAGAGGCAGGGCACACATTACTAGAGGCAGGCCACACATTTGGCTCTGTGCTTTTTCTAACAGGAATAATTTTTGATTAAATCATTTACATAGTCCTTAGAATGTACCAAATGAATCAGCATCGCTGAGGGTGGGACCTGGATGTTGGTATTTTAAAAAATATCTCCAGGTAGATCTTGTTGAGAACCATTGGCAGAACCACTGAAACTGTTGTTCTGAGGAAGCAAAAAAAAAAAAAAAAAATTCTGGATACTTGAGAACATTCATATCTCATTAATTCCCACATATATCTTTATTTCAAATGTTCAAGGAGTGATAAAATAAATATTTATGTGAAATCTTCTTTATCAACTTGATTTTTCTGCAGACATTACAGAACAGAACAAGCATCTTTCATTCTAATGAGCTGTAGAAAATATAATATATTAATAGAAGAACAAAAGATTAGAAATAAAATGCTGTGGACGTAGACAATATTTTGGTCACTTTGTTGTTTTGCTTATTGATCTTTAAGACTCAATAGTGACTTATTGAGGGCAAATCTATTGTGTTCTGATCCCTACCCAGTCAGCTACATCACTGACTTCCGGAAGCCACCAAACATTTCTATGACTTCAGCTTTTAAGAGGAAAAAGGAATTAACAAACACATACACATTACAAAATAGTAAAAAGCATAATTTGTTGAGGAGGTGGATGTTTCAGGAAAAGCCAGTCATAAAATGCAAAGCCAAGTTCATTTGACACAGTTGTCATTCTTTCATTTCAGATTTTCTACCATTCATGAAAAGTCTTTCCTGCAATCCAATTTATATGCTTTTCATACTTATAAGTGTGATACAGTTCAATGCATTCGTTAACATGATCTCCTTCATGCCTAAATACATAGAACAGCAATATGGAAAATCATCTTCAGATGCAATCTTTCTAATAGGTATGTTTGTTTTTCTCTGCATTACTAGCACACTTTTTTCCCCCATGAAATGGTGAACAGTGTGATGGCAGGTGTAGCAAACTCCTAAGTTGAAGTCTTTTAGCATATTTTTTGTCTCTGGTGGATTTCTTCCTTCTATTCTCAAAAAAAAAAAAAAAAAAAAAAAGAAAGAAAGAAAAGAAAAAATCAAGAAAGGGTAGGGAAGGGAAGAGGTCAGAAATATCTTGATTTTCTCTCCGAAGTCAGAATGTGAATTCATAATATTAATGCAAATCTTTGGGAGTGCAAAAATTACGTATTTTCAGATAGGATTCTGCATTTTACTACCAAATTTTACTCTCTTGGTTCCAGTTCAAGGATTCTGTGGTCCTCCTAATTTAATTTTTCGGTCCCCCTAGTGGTTGTAGGTGTCTGCAGCCACACACATTCAGCCTTTCCTGCAACCACACTAACCTCAGTGGTTTTAGCCTAACTTGGGTTTTTCCTGGGATCTTTCCACTGTTTTGAAAAGTCAATATCCCAAGCTACTTGTATCCACACTACCTAAAGTGCTTGTGAAAGCTTCAAATACCTGGGGTTCCCCCTAAGACACACTGAATCAGACTCTAGGGCGTGGGGCTCTGGAATGGATTTTTAACAAGTTCTCTCCATAATATGATTCAGGGAGCCAGATGTTCACATTGTATGGATGGAACCTAGGGCTATCTTCTCCTTTTACTATTCTTTTTTTTTTTTTTTCTCTTATTGGGAAGGGTTGAGAGAGGAAGAGCGCTGGCCAGTAGCAGCAAGACATGAAATGTAAATACACCTGACAGCAACAGGCTCAGCAAAGTGACTCTCTAAAGTACCTTGAACTGGGTGTGGTGGCTCATGCCTTTAATTCCAGCACTTTGGGATGCTGAGGAGCGAAGATCACTTGAGGCCAGGAGTTCAAGACCAGCCTGGATGACGTAGCAAGGCTTTGTCTCTGCAATTTTTGGTTTTAAATTAGTCAGTGTGGTGTTGTGTACCTGTAGTCCCAGCTACTTAGAAGGCTGAGGTGGGAGCAGCCCTTAAGCCCAGGAGGTTGAGGCTCCAGTCAGCTATGATCATATCACTGCACTCCAGCCTGGGCAATAGAGTAAGATTCTGTCTCTAATAAAAGAAAAGAAAAGCACCTTGAGGGAAGTCTAATTCTTCACAACCAAAGTGGGCATAAGTAACTGAAAAATTGTATATATATGTTCTCATTACACAGAATAGAAGGTAATAAATGAATAAATTACTGGCCAATTTTGACTTGCCACTTCTACCTGGATCCAAAGAAGAGAGATTTTTGTCATGATCTCTGCCTATAAGAAATTCACAAGCTACTGCAATGAGTTAAACGAATGATAATATAACAAGAGTCTCCCAAAATATACTTCCCCATTTATGGGGTATTTCAAAATCTCCCTGTGGGTCATGTGTAACTAAGTGGGGATAAAATTAAATCATTCTTCTTCACTATGAGTTGGACCTAAATAGTTTCTTATATAAGACATATTACATAAAAGTGGTAACATATTGATTCCTTTGGTAAGTCATTTTGTAAATAATATTTTATTTGCATTTATAGGTATTTATAACTTACCTCCAATATGTATTGGATACATAATTGGTGGTTTAATTATGAAGAAGTTCAAGATTACTGTCAAACAAGCTGCCCACATAGGATGTTGGTTATCCTTACTTGAGTATCTTCTCCATTTTTTATCTTTTCTTGTGACTTGTGAAAATTCTTCAGTTGTTGGCATAAATACCTCTTATGAAGGGTATGTTGTTTTCTAATGAATGTCAGAATCTTTCAACAAATGGTTAATATTATATTTTTTACAATGGCAATGCATGATCAGATCATTTGCTTGTTGGAGTTAATGGTAGTAATCCATGCTCTTCCTGTATCTTTTCTCCATCTGTCAATCAAAAGCCAATCTATCCAAGCTCTAGGCTTATTAACAAGATTGGGAACATATCACAGGGTGAGTGAATTTATGATTGCATGTGCATGTGGGTGTGTGTGCATGATTGTCTTTGTGATATCCGAGTAGACATTATCCTATGAAAGAAACTACCTACAGTTTTAGTTTGTATTAAAATATGTTATCCATATGTCTTATACTCCCATAACTGAGTAAAACTAAGGATAGACTATACAGTCAAAATAGCCTTTATATGTTTATACAATGGGCTTAAGTTTGGCATAACTGAATCATAATACATGGTAAATTAATTAATACATAATTCATATATTTCATTTGTATTGCTATATCTAAAATATTGAATACTTTCATATTTTGTATTTTGAAGGTTATCTGGGTTTTATTGAAAGGTTTTCCATAGTGATGTACATTAAAAGAATTCACCTATAGGGCACATTTTGATAATCAAGCTATCAATTAAAATGAAATAAAGAACATCCTAAAATGTTTTTTCAAAATTATCAAGGTTTATTAAATTGAAATAATTTCAAATGTAAAATAATAATATAATTTTATATATGGTATTTGATTTGAGACTCATAAACTTTATTTAAGATAAGCATTATTACCTCCACTTACAGATTCAGAGAGATTTAATGATAAAGGGAGTTCATTTCAAATCTCTTCAACCACATCAATACAGAAATGGATTTTAAAATTGGAATAAATTTTAAAGATTGTCTCCATCTCCAATGATGCTGATTCCCAGACATAATGTGTCGAAAGTCGCACTGTGATCTAGTCTGAATTCAGTCTCTAAACTGCCACGCAAGTGCTCTTTCAATCGTATTACAAGCACTGGTCACTTGTATTTCTTTAATTCAAATACCTATGTTTCTGGAGCTAAATGTATTATCTATGTTACAAGTGGAACTTGCAGATTTTTGTCTTCATGCTAGTCCTTTCTTGCTATTTGCTACCTAATGGATGCATCACAGAGATTAGTTCATCCTCATTTTTGAGATCTAATAATATGTGAAAACGTGACTCCCACAAGGTAGGCACTCAATGCTTGTTTATTACCTGTATATTCTTCTGAGATAAATCATTGAAAGCGTGGCTATGTGGTCATCAAAACAGGTCTCTTTTATACCAAAGCTATAGTAAACAGGTCACACATTGATGATTGGAAGATTTCTCTTTCTATTCATGGGAGAAAAGGAAATCTAATTGGGGATTGAGATGAAAAGAAGAAAAAAAGGATTGAATCATCTTTTAATATCTATGGCATTATTTTAAATCACTTCAGAATTCCACAAGATTTGTATATGGGAAATAACGTCTTTGCTAATTGCAATGTGGATTGCAACTGTCCATCTAAAATATGGGATCCTGTGTGTGGAAACAATGGCTTGTCATATCTGTCAGCTTGTCTTGCTGGTTGCGAGACATCCATTGGAATGGGAATAAACATGGTAAGACATCCTATTTGACAGAACTTTTTTGAGTTGCATTTTTACTTTCCAACTATGAACTGGGCCTACACTTAATAAAAGTAAAATTAGTGTTTCCTCAAAACCAAATTAGTTTCTTTGTATGTGGAAAAATAACTCTATGACAGTCACTTGATTACCTTTTATTTCCCAGATCTTATGTAAAACCTTCATAGCATCTGAACAGTGATCTGAAATTTCCAAGAAGTTTACATTATTACTCAAATAATTTGGGTTGTAAATACTCTGGACTAAAAAAATTTTATCATTGAAATAAAGTTGGTGGTTTTGATCTCAATTGTCCAGCTAATTGCTTTGCTATACATATATATATATATATATTTTTTTTTTTTTTTCTGTGTATATGTATGGGCGTGCTTTCTGTGTTTTTCACATTCTGACAGTTCTTTAAGAATTTAGAATTAGGAATGTTCTCTTGCTTCTAACATATCACGATATAATATAACAACAATACTAATACTAATATAATGTTGGTTGGTGATCAAAGTAAACTAAAATTTTGATTCTTACTAAGACCTGGAAACATGTAACAATTCAAAAAGAGTTGACAATTCTGTTTCTGAAATAAACCCTCCCCTCCCCTCCCCTCCCCTCTCCTTTCCTTTCCTTTCCTTTCCTTTTTTTGAGACGGAGTCTCACTCTGTCACCCAGGCTGGAGTGCAGTGGCACGATCTCGGCTCACTGCAACCTCCGCCTCCCGGGTTCAAGCGAGTCTCCTGCCTCAGCCTCTTGAGTAGCTGGGATTACAGGCACACGCCACTACACCCGGGTAATTTTTGTATTTTTAGTAGAGACGGGGTTTCACCATGTTGGTCAGGCTGGTCTCGAACTCCTGACCTCATGATTCGCCTGCCTTGGCCTCCCAAAGCGGTGGGATTACAGGCGTAAGCCACTGCACCCTGCCGAAATAAACTATTTCTTTAGAAGCAAAGCTTTGGTTATTTGTAAGCATCTAAATATTTCAATTGAGCACTCTGAAACAGATGTTGTTTGTCCAATGTAGTGTTGCATCAAAACACTATTTTAAAAAGTGTATTGGCTGGGCGCGGTGTCTCACGCCTGTAATCCCAGCACTTTGGAAGGCAGAGACGGGTGGATCATCTGAGGTCAGGAGTTCAAGACCAGTCGGCCAACATGGTGAAATCCATCTCTGCTAAAAATACAAAATTTAGCTGGGCATAGTGGCGGGCGCCTGTAGTCCCAGCTACCCTGGAGCCTGGGGCAGGAGAATCACTTGAACCTGGGAGGCAGAGGTTGCAGTGAGCCAAGTTCATACCACTGCACTCTAGCCTAGGCGACAGCATGAGTCTCTGTTACAAATAAATAAATAAATAAAATCATTAAAAAGTGTGTCTTTAGGGTAGCTTATTAGTTATTACAAATTTACTATACATATTTAGGAAAATTTACCTTTTTTTCTGAAATCACCCTTCCAGTTTTGTTATATGCTGTAATCTTGAGAGACGTCATAATGGGGATGGAGTAAAGGAACAAGGAGTCTCCATCTTGATCCAACTGGCTGTGTAGAGAATGTTTAAAATTTGTGTTCAAGATATTTCTTTCTTAGTTAGTGTAATATGTTATTTTTTGACAGGTGTTCCAAAATTGCAGCTGTATTCAAACATCAGGAAATTCATCTGCAGTTCTTGGGCTGTGTGACAAAGGGCCTGACTGTTCCATGATGCTCCAGTACTTCCTAATCTTGTCAGCAATGAGCAGTTTCATTTATTCTTTGGCCGCCATACCTGGATATATGGTTCTTTTGAGGTACACAATTATTTTCCTTATTTTAAAATTTTTTAAGCTACCTTAAATTTAAGGTAGCTTGTTCTAAGAAAGTCACTCAGGACTCAGTATCTAAGAACTCAGTGCTCTAACGTACCATTTATTAAGGGCTTTGTATTAAGCATTTTTGAATTTCACAAAATTTTAAAGTTAGCAATGCACATGTTCATCTCCTGGCATTTCATTCCTATTCCTCCCTATTTTTCTTCCATATGTCTTAGAGTTAAATGAGTGGACCTCTCATTTTGTGACAAAAGAGACACATTTACATCTTAGGGTAGACCATAGAAAATGGCCATTTTGATAGGTAAACAGTGGGTGCCTAGCAGCCATTTCCTAAGGTTCAATCTATAGGACAGCAGCGCAAAGCTCTGAGAAGCTCCCATCTCACCAAGGCCACTGGATCTTTCTGAGCTCCATTTTTCTTTAATAATAATGGGCATAATAATAAATACTCAGCTCTCTCACAAGGCTACTGTGAGACATCAGTACTGAAGGACTTTCTAAAACTAGGAAACTGCAGAGCTAGTTTTCAAATTTAGGTATATTAAATAAATCTTCTTTCAACTACACCACTCTTCATGCCTAGTAAACAATTCTGAACATAGTTTGTATTTTTTTCTCTCTTCTTCTTGTTTTGGAGCTCAAAAGTAGAGTTAAGTTAATCACAATGCTCAAGTCATAACACATTATCATCACAGGCCAGAGCAAGGATTCTCTCTTATTTTACTTCATTTATTTATTTACTTCTATTCAATTCCCTATTTCCAGTCACCATAGCTGCTCACTTAAATATGACAGATAAATGTCATTAAATATGCATTTCCTTTGTAAAATATTAAAATTTTTTGTGTGTATGTGTTTTTATGTTCACACAAATGGTGGTATGGTATTAAGTCTTGTTCTGGTTCATAAGGTAGATGCATAAATAAATTCACCAGTCCTATTTAGAGTAATTTTTATATCATCACTGCATGGGAGTTAGAATTATCTCACTTTGTGATGTTGACTAATCCAATGGGTGTAAAATACTAATGATAGCTCACTGACATGTCAATATGTGATTTCCTGATATACTGAGCTTAAGCATCTCTTCAAACAACTTTTTTTAGCTATTTAGGCTTCTGATAGATGATGCTTATTCAATTTATTTTACCCATTTTACTCATTATATTTCCTATCTCTTATGTTTTCCTTGATGATTTTGATGATTACGATGTAAATTACAGGTATTAATGTAATACTGTTTATGTTATACAATTATCTTCACTTAGTCTGTCTTCTTTCTTTTAACTTTTACAGTGCCATTTATGAAATGAAATCCTAAATTTTGTTGTAGTAAAATCTAACAATTTTCTTGCCTTAGTGTTTGTGTATTTGGAAGATAAGTCACATTTTTAAAATTGCTTCCACATTTGTAACTTATAAAAATGTTCTCTTAAATTTTATTTCCCCCTAGCTTTCCAGCTTTACCTTCTGCATAGTTTTTTAAGCCATCTCAAATCTATTTTTATATGTGGTTTAAGGGACATAGATATCCAGTGTTATTTTTCTCCGAATAATAAAGTTTTTTCCAAAATCATAGCCTATATAATACATCCTTTTTCCCTTTGATTTGTGGTGCCACCATCTCAAGTTTTTATATAACGTGAATCTATTTTTCATCCTTACTCTGTTCCACAGATTTATTTGCCTGTTCTCATACCAGTGTCACCTTGATTTAATTACTTTGGCCTTGCAAATGTTAGTATTTCATATGGTAACTTTTCCTCACCCCCCTGTCATCTTCACTTTTCCTTTATTCTTTTATTCTCAAACTGATTTAGCTGATTTATTCTCAAACTGATTAGTCTGTGGGTCTTTATATCTTCATAAGAATTTCAATTGAGTTAGTGTAGATTCCACAGATTACTTGGAGAAAAATCTGACATCAAATATTTTTGAACATGTAATATCCTCGCATTTGCTTAAATGTTCCTTTGTATCCTTAAATAAAGTTCTGAAAATTTTTCATAAAGGTGATGTGCCATTAAATTCTTTCTTAAATACTATATATAAATATATAAATTATATACACACATATGTATACATATACATGTCTATATATGCACACACATATATGTACATACAGCCACATAGATACATACATGCATACACACACACACACACACACACACACACACACACACACACACTGAGAAAAACAAATGGTTTCTTTATTCATACAGAACACTTCTGATAGCCAGATGTGTGGATTATTTTCCTACACTGTCCAATTCTGCAGCACCAGCTGGGTGTTCTACAGTTCTATGCAATTCTGGCACTATCTACATAGACTTTGCATCAGATTGCACAAGTTAAAAGGCTCAGTCCTATGAGACTGCCCCCAATCTAGATGTCAATCACGAGTCCAGACACCCTGGGTTTTTGTTTTGTTTTGTTTTGTTTTGTTTTGTTTTGTGTTCTACCCTGGGCTTCTGACTGACAAGCTATGCATTAGGGTTGACTCCTCCATTTTCTAGAATGGCTCACGGAACTCAGGGAAGGAACACTTGACTTACATTTATTGGTTTATTATGAAGGTTATTATAAAAGACACAAATGGAAACCAGGGTAGGGTTGGGATGTGCCACTCTCCTGGCATATGGATGTGTTTACCAGCTCAGAAGCTCATCAAATCTCCTAGTTCAAGAGCTTTTAGTGAGCTTGATCTTCAGTGCACACATCCCACTCCATCCTCCTGGAGGTCTGAGTGTGGGGTTGAATAACTTCTAATAACTTGGTCTTTTTGGTGACCAGTCCCAGCCTCAGTCTGGGAGCCCACCCTGTCGTCTCATTAGTATAGACTCAGGTGTGATCAAAACAATCTCCTTAAGAATGACAAAATACATTCCTACCACTAAGGCCGCTCCAAGGGAATTCCAAGAACTCCAAGGACCCATGTGCCAGGAGCTAGGGACAAAGACCAAATATATTTCTTGTGACGCCATCCATACACACACACACACACACACACACACACACACACAGAATGGTGCCATTACCATCACAAACATGCAATATACATATATATCCATATACATATAAATATTTGTGATTGCAAATATATATAGATATGAATATGTGTATTTGTGATTTTAAACTGATTTATATTGTATTGATTTTAAATATATTTAAATTTATATTTGTATTGCTTGTAAATGATTTGTGATTATCAATGTGATTGTACATATTTTGTGTGTATATGTATATATGTGTATCATTTCCCATATACAAATATAAATTTTATATCTAGATTATAATTACATAGCATATAATTAAAATTATACATAAATCAGAAGTAAAAACTAGATTAAAAAATTACATAGTCATATATAAATATAGTTTTTTAATTTTTAATTTTTATGGGTATATACTAGGTGTATATATTTATGGGTTACATGAGATATTCTGATACAAGCATGCAGTGTGTAATAACCACATTAGGGTAAATGGGATATCCATTCCCTCAAGCATTTATACTTTGTGTTACATGCAATTCATTTATACTCTTTTAGTAATTTTAAAATGTACAATTAAATTATTTTCCACTATAGTCACTCTATACACTATCAAATAGTAGGTTTAATTCATTTTTTCCATTTTTTCATACCTATTTACTATCTCTACTTCCCCACCACACCCAGGCTACCCTTTCCAGCCTCTGGTAACAACCCTTCTGTTCTCTATCTCCATGAGTTCAATTGTTTTCATTTTTTCTTTTTTTTCTCAGATGGAGTCCCACTCTGTTGTCCAGGCTGGAGTACAGTGGCGCAAACTTGGCTCACTGCAACCTCCACCTCCCTGGCTCAAGCAATCCTCCAGCTTCAGCCTCCTGAGTAGCTGGGACTACAGGCATGCACCACCACACCTGCTAATTTTTGTATTTTTAGTAGAAATAGTGTTTTATTATGTTGGCCAGGCTGGTCTTGAACTCCTGATCTCAGGTGATCCACCCGCCTTGGCCTCCCAAAGTGCTGGGATTAGAGGCATGAGCTCCCGGGCCCAGCCTGTTCTCAGTTTTAGCTCCCACAAGTAAGTGAGGACATGTAAAGTTTGTCTTTTGGTGCCTGGCCTACTTTACTTAACGTAATGACCTCCAGTTCCATTCATGTTGTTGCAAATGAAATGGTCTCATTCTTTTTTTATGCCTGAATATTACTCCATCATGTATATGTACCACATTTTCTTTATCCATTCGTCTATTGCTGGACACTTAGGTTGCTTCCAAGTCTTGACTATTGTGAATAGTGCTGCAATAAACATGGCAGTGCAGATATCTCTTTGATACATTGACTTCCTTTCTTTTGAGTATATATTAATACATAGAAGTGGGATTGCTGGATCATATGGTAGCTCTATTTTGAGTTTTTTGAGAAATCTCCAAACTGTTCTCCATAGTGGTTGTACTAATTTACATTCCCACCAACAGTGTAGGAGGGTTCCCTTTACTCCACATCCTCACCAGTATTTGTTATTGACTGTTTTTGTATACAAGTCATTTTAACTGGGGTGAGATGACATCTCATTGTAGTTTTGATTTGCTCAGACTTCTAGTAGTATCTAGAATAACAATGGTGAAGGTGGGCATCCTTTTCATGTCCTGGATCACAGAAGAAGGGCTTTCAGTTTTTCCCCATTCAGTATGATACTCACTAGAGGTCTCTCATATATGGCCTTTATTATGTTGAGGCATGTTCCTTTTACACCCAGTTTTCAGAGAGTTTTTTTTTTTTTGTACTATAAAGCGATGCTGAATCTTATCAAATGTTTTTTCTACATTAGTTGAAATGATCATATGTTTTTATTTGTTTGTTCTTTTGGTATGATGTATCATATAGATTGATTTGCATATGTTTGAACTATTCTTGGATCTCTGGGATAAATCCCACTTGTTCATGATGGATGATCTTCTTAATGTGTTGTTGAATTTGGTTTAGTATTTTGTTGAGGATTTTTGCATCAGTATTCATCAGGGACATTAGCCTTTAGTTTTCTTTTCTTTTTTTTTTTTTTGTTTTTTTCCTACGTGTCTTTTTCTGGTTTTGGTATCAGGATAAGACTGACCTCATAGAATGAGTTTGGAAGGCTTCTCTCCTCCTCTGTTTTTCAGAATAGTTTGAGTATATTGGTATTATTTCCTTTTTAAATGTTTGGTAGAATTAGGCAGTGAAGCTATTGGGTCTTTTCTTTGCTGGAGACTTTTTATTACAGCTTCAATCTCATTACTTATTATTGATCTGTTCAGGTTTTGGATTTCTTCATAGTTCAATCTTGGTAGGTTGTATGTGTCTAGGATTTCATCCATTTCTTCTAGGTTTTCCAATTTATTGGCATACAGTTGTTCATAATAGCCTTTAGTTTAACATAGCTTAACAATTATTCTTAAAATCCTTTGGATTTCTGTGGTATCAGTTGTAATGTCTTCTTTTTCATATATGATTTTATTTATTTGAGTCCTCTCTTTTTTCCTAGTTATTTTGGCTAAGGGTTCATCAATTTTGTTTTTCTTTTCAAATAACTATTTTTGTTTTGTTTTGTTGATCTTTTGTATTATTTTCTTCATTTCAATTTCATTTATTTCTACTCTGATCTTTATTATTTCTTTTCTTCTATTAATTTTGTGTTTGGTTTGCTCTTGCTTTTCTAATTCTTTAATATGCATTATTATTTTTTTTTCTTTCTTTTTTTTTGAGACGGAGTCTCAGTCTGTCGCCTAGGTTGGAGTGCAGTGGTGCGATCTCGGCTCACTGCAACCTTCGCCTCCCACGTTTAAGCGATTCTTCTGCCTCAGCCTCCTGAGAAGCTGGGACTACAGGCTCACACCACCACGTCGAGATAATTTTTGTATTTTTATTAGAGACAGGGTTTCACCATGTTGGCCAAGATGGTCTTGATCACCTGACCTTGTGATCCCACACCCCACTTCATCCCTCCCAAAAGTTCTGGGGGAATTAACCAAGAACTGTTGGAATTCACAGGATAGTTTTCAAATTCCTTGTTATTGATTTGTGGTCAGAGAAGATACTTGATACTGTTTCAGTTTTTTTGGATGTTGTAAGACTTGTTTTGTGAGCTAACCTATGGTCTATCCTTGAGAATGATCCATGTGCTGGATTCATATTTGTATTCTGTGGCCATTGGATAAAATGTTCTGTAAATATTTATTAGGTTCCTTTGGTCTATAATTTGGATTAAATCCAATGTTTCTTTGTTGATTTTTTTGGGGGGGGGGTCTGGAAGTTCTGTCCAATGCTGAAAGTGAGGTGTTGAATTCTTCAGCTATTATTGTGTTAGGCTCTATCTCTCTCTTTTGCTTTATATATCTATCTGGTGCTTCAATGTTGGGTGAATACATATTTATAACTTTTATGTCCTCTTGCTTAATTAATCCTTTTATCCTTATATAATGATCTTCTTTGTCTCTTCTTACAGTTTTTGTCTTAAAATCTATTTTGTCTGATATCAGTATGTTACTCCTGCTCTTTTTTGGTTTCTATCAGCATGGAATATCTTTTTCATCCCTTTATTTTCTGTGTCTCTGTCTTTATGAGTGACATGTGTTTCTAGTAGACAACAGATTATTGGGTATTTTTTAAAATCCATTCAGCTACTTTATGTCATTTTTTGGAGAGTTTAGTCTATTTACATTAAATATTCTTATTCATAAGAAAGGTCTTACTGCTGCCATTTTGTTATTTGTTTTCTGGTTTTCTCTTCTTCCTTTTTTTCTTCCTTTCAGTGAAGGTGATTATCTCTAGTGGTATGCTTTAATTTCTTGCTTTTTTATTTTTTGTGTATCCATTGTATGTTTTTTGATTTGAGGTTACCATGAGGCTTACAAATACTATCTTATAACCCATTTTTTTAGGTGATAATACATTAAAACTGCTTGCATAAAGAAACTAATAAGCAAAAAGAAAACATGAAAAAACCTCTACATTTTAACTTTGTCCTCCTGATTTTTAACATTTTGTTATTTCTATTTCTATTTTATTGTACTATGTCTTGAAAAGTTGTTAATATTTTTGGTTAGTTCATCTTTTAGTCTTTCTAGTTAAGAGTAGTTTATACATCACAGCCACAGTGTTATAATATTCTGCATGCATTTTTCTGCTTACTTACTATTTCCAGTGATCTTTGTACCTTCAGATGAATTCTCATCGCTCATCAACATCCTTTCCTTTCTGATTGAAGTACTCCCTTTAGCATTTCTTATAGCATGGGCTGGTATTGATGAACTCCCTCAGTGTTTGCTTGTCTGGGAAAATCTTTATTTCTTCTTTTTGTTTGGAGGATATTTTCACCAGATATAAAGGTAAAAGTTTTTTCCTTCAGCACTTTAAATATGTCATGCCACTCTCTCCTGGCCTGTAAAGTTTCCCCTGAAAAGTCTGCTGCCAGTTGTATTGCAGTTCCATTGTATGTTAGTCACTTCTTTTCTCTTGCTGCTTTGAGAATTGTTTATTTATACATGACCTTGGGGGATTTATTGAATTCCTTGAGGTGATCTTCTCTGGGTTAAATCTGCTTGGTGTTCTATAACCTTCTTGCACTTGGTATCAATACCTTTCTCTTGGTTTGGGAAGTTCTCTGCTGTCATCCCTTTGAATAATCTTTCTACTCCTATCTCTTTCTCTACCTTTTCTTTAAGGCAAATAACTATTAGATTTGCCCTTTAGAGACTATTTTGTGGATCATTAAGGTGCACTTCACTCTTTTTTATTTTCTTTTTCTTTTGTATCCCTTACTGTGTATTTTCAAATAGCCTATCTTCAAGCTCACTAAATCTTTCTTTTGCTTGATAAATTCTGCTATTAAGAGATTCTGAGGCATTCTTTAGTATGTCATTGCAGTTTTTTTACTGTAGAATTTCTGCTTTTTTTTTTATGTCAACCTCTTTGTAAAATTCATCTGATAGTGTTCTGAATTTTTTATCTGTATTATCTTGAATTTCTTTGAGTTTCCTCAAAATAGCCATTTTGAATTCTCAATCTGAAAGGTCACATATCTCCCTTTCTCCAGGATTGGTCCCTGCTGCCTTGTTTAGTTCCTTTGGTGAGGTCATGTTTTCCTGTATGTTCCTTAT